GTGGACGACATGATGAATTCTTTCGAATATATGGCCATTAACAGGAAGAAGGCATTTGGTAGCACAGGGATTAACTGCAGCAACATCAAGTGTCTGTACTATTGCGTCATCATCCGAGTAAACATACAAACCAAAATGTGACCATAATGTTTTATGCACTATGGTCTTGACTTTATCCAGATAAGATGGTTATATAAATACAGTATTGTGTCAAATTTAATTCAAGTTACTTACATTGTAAAATGCAAAAGAAGAGTAGTTTTTATGGTCATTTTGCATCTATTCATCTTTGGTGGGTCAAATGTTGCAACTTTAGCTCATGACATGATTTTGATTTACTACACTTAAATAAGCACATTATTTGCTCTTTTGTGTGCAAATAAACCCTTTTTGTTGGCTATATAAATGTGGCATAGCCATCCTTTTATGATGCATTTTATAAACCAGTTTGACAGACAGCAGGTGTATCATATCTGCAATATTTTGATTGCAATATATTTTGCTCTAAATATGTAAACATGTCAAGATTTGATAAATAAATTAATAGCATCTTAAAATCATTAAAAATCAAGTATATGGTCTGGAAATATTCATCTTAATGTACAAAAAGGTTGCCAGATTTAAGTAAGGACCAGTGCTATTTTTTTTCCTTCAGATAATAGTTTTATGATCAAATATTTATTACCCCTTAAAGATAACCAAACAAACCATTGAAGTTATTTTTAAAATAAAATTACAGTCTACTGTTTGTTTGTTTGTATGTTTATTTATTTTGTTAAATATACAGTTTTAGCATATCTACCATTGTTGATATCAGTCTGGGCTGTTTATGTGCAATATTGCTGATATCACATTAGCATAGCATGAAATCTGGCTGATAACCTGTTGATTTCCATACTTGTTTCTGACTGGCATTAATAGTTTTATGCTACTATAGAATATCCTGTCAAAAACAAATATCAAATGAAACATTGCAGGTATTTATTATATGACATTTCTATAAGCCTACATATTTTTTGCAATCTGTTGTTCTTTTGATCTCCATTTAGCACCTGTTTAAAGGGACAGCGTTCACCATTAGAATTACGTAACACGACCCTATGACATTCAGCAGTACACTGATAATACAAATAGCATTTGCCACTGGAGGCGCAGTCAGTAAAACTTGAATGGTGGTCTGTTCTCTTCTCTATTTCAGAGCGTCCATCTGCTTTCATTAGTTTATTGTGGACCATTTCATCATGGAAATTGAGTTATTTTATCCTCTGGACACTGGATAGAGGCCAGTAGAAGACACATGTGCATGCCTGAACAGTGCAAATGTCTGGACACGTGTACAGTCATAATGTTATCTGTTGAAGAAATGACGTGATTTTGCAGGTTTGTCAAAGGCATGAATGTTGCCCATGTAGTGTACAACACTTCAGTATATAAGTTATACATTTTGAATGTGTTCATTGTGAAGTGTTGTGTAAATGTGTAAACAGATAGGTATATTATAAAGAATACATTTACAATAATACAATAATATTGTCTCAGTTAAGCAATACATAGGAAATTCTAATTCAGTCAACATTGATGACACCACTTGGCTAAATCAGATGCATTTTGACTTTTTTCCGAAGCAACTTACTTTGCATTCTGTGTATATTATATTTTGATAGTAGGCATTGTGTGTTCCCCAGGAATCAAACCCATGACACTGGCATTGCTAGCACTAGGATTTTGAGCAATTTTGAGCTACAGTAAATCATCTAAAATGCAATATATTTATGAAGTATAATAATAGATGTTCTTTTCTGGGAAAAAAAGAAAAAAATATTTTTCAGCAAATACATTTTGTTTGACAATCAAGTGATAAAAAAGTGGTGATATTTAATTACTGTATTACTTACTAATATAACATTCAGAGAACTGTATTCTCAATTTCTGAATAAAAGCAAATACATTTTTTTCTAATCAGATTTGTGCTTTTCTTTGCATGTGTCTATGCAAGGTTATTTCTGCAACAAATGAAAAAAGTAATTGTGACTAAATCTCACAATTCAGAATTTTTTCTTTATTCTAATTTAGAATTCTGAAAAAAGAAATCCTAATTCAAACTAAAAATTCAGAGGGAAAAATTTTTAATTCTGAGATGTAAACTTGCAATTTTTTTTACTTTTTTCTCTGAATTCTGAGTTTACATCTCACAATTCTGACTTTTTTCTTTATTCTAACTCAGAAGTCAGAGAAGAAAAATCTGAATTCCGAGATGCAAATTCAGAATTCCGGTGGAAAAAGTCAGAATTCTGAGGGAAAAAAGACAAAAATCTGATTTTTACTTGTTGCTCTGAATTTTGTCTCGCAATTCTGACTTTTTTCCTTTATTCTAACTCAGAATTCTGAGAAAAATAAATCAGAATTCCAAGATTCAAACTAAAAATTCAGAGGGAAAATTTTTTAATTCTGAGATGTAAACTTGCTATTTTTCCTTTTTTTCTCAGAATTCTGAGTTTACATCTGAGTCTGACTATGTATTTATTCTAACTCAGCATCCAGAGAAAAAAAATCACAATTCCGAGATGCAAACTCAGAATTCAGAGGAAAAAAGTCAGAATTCTGAGGAAAAAGTCAGAATTCCGAGAGGGAAAAAAAAAAACTATTCTGAGATGTAAACTTGCCATTTTTACTTATTGCTCTGAATTATGAATTTACCTCTCGCAATTCTGATGGGAATTCTTTTCTCGGGAATTCTGAGTTTGCATGTCGCAATTCTGACTTTTTTCACTGCAATTGTGAATTTACATATCACAACTCTTTTCTCAGAATTGCAAGATAAAAAGTCGCAATTACTTTTTTTTCGTTTTTATCCTGTGGTGGAAACAAGCTTCCGTATGTATCAGTATGGTAAATGCTGTGCTGCAACGGCTCCTGAATCAGAGTAAATCTTGAATCATTTTAATAATTCCTAACTGAATTTACAGAGAAAATAGGTCTACATCAATCTACCAATTGCATGTGGCTAAAATTGAACACTGGCCCTCAATTGATCAGGGTCAGTTATCCTGTGTTGGCCATGAGCTGGAGAGGGCAAGCAAGGGTATGGACAGTGGAGGATGAGGATGTGACCAGTGTAAGGTTTGTAATTCCTGTTGCCTGTCCTTTCTTTCAGATGGATTGCAGCCAGGCAGAACGCAGGCTGGGATTAATGTTAGATCCCAATCTGCTCCCTCTGCATTTACAAATGGCTTTATATAACTCCTAGTCTATTTGATAAATGCCACATAATCCCATAGGAAGTCATCTGTGTTTGTCTGGAGTAAGAGGTCGTTTAGGCCACACCCAGAAGCAGCATGTAATGGAGGTCTGCTCTGAACACATGTCATTGCAGGAATGTTGTGACCGTCATGCTGTTGACAGGAAGCCCATTTTACAACATGCTAAAGCTTTAGAGAGAGCATGACTGCTTGCATGCATGTCAAATGGATGTACTGCTTAGCGGAATATATTCTGAAATTAATGGCTATAGTTTTTATATGTGGCCTACTATATATATATATAGGCTATATATATATATATATATATATATATATATATATACACACACACACACACACACATATATAGATAGATAGATAGATAGATAGATATCTAAAAAAAAAAGGCATTGCACGTTAACATTTTTTTTTTCATATCTCTACAATCATATCTCCACATTGAGGCAGCAATATCAAATATTCATTTTCAAATATATATCTCCAGTACTGATACATCTGTTGTTGATGATGACATTGATGACGCCAGTGATGATGAAGATCTCTATAAAGAGGAACAAGAATATTTTGTAACACAAATGACGGAATTGTGACAACAAACATGCATTTTTGGATAGACAGTGGTCTCTAGCGGTACATTTGAGAATAACATCTATAATTTTACAATCATCCAGTTTATGAGAGTAGTACAGTAAATCACAAAAAGTTTCTTTCAGTTATTTGGCCCTTAATGAGCTCATTGTGCAAATTAAGCCAAAAATCTTGCCTTCGTGAATCTTTCACTCATTAACCACAACAGCACTAAATATCAGCTTTTCAAAAGTTTTTTATTTTCATTAAGAGCAATGAAACAGGAAAAGGGAACCAAAAAGGACCACAACAGACAACATATTGCAAATATTTAAGTCAAATAAACATCTGAAGAAAGAATGTTAAAATTTAAACATGCTGTAATTGAATATATTTAATATAAAAGACATCTTGTTTGTTGAAATATACAATGATTGACAACATTCTATGTGGCCAAGAATAGCGCTCTTTTACCATGTTTGGCAAATAATACCATATTTCATGAAGGTACATCATAACCAAAACATGAAAGGTATTGACAATATCATTTAACAACAAAAGAAAACGTAACCATGAAAAAAGTTTCGATACTGATGCATATAATACTAAAGTGCCTGTATAAGAATAGGTAAAGAAATTACGATCGCAATGTAAAGTTCATGGTACTAAATGTACTGTATTAATGCCCATATACAGTTAACCGTAGAATTTAGAACTTTTCCCATAAAGTTTGTTGCCTATAAATATACAGTATACATCAAATTACATAGATATATTCAGAAATCCATATGAAAACGAAGGTACATCATAACCAAAACATGAAAGGTATTGACAATATCATTTAACAACAAAAGAAAACGTAACCATGAAAAAAGTTTAGATACTGATGCATATAATACTAAAGTGCCTGTATAAGAATAGGTAAAGAAATTACGATCGCAATGTAAAGTTCATGGTACTAAATGTACTGTATTAATGCCCATATACAGTTAACCGTAGAATTTAGAACTTTTCCCATAAAGTTTGTTGCCTATAAATATACAGTATACATCAAATTACATAGATATATTCAGAAATCCATATGAAAATACTGTACAAAAACAAGAATAACTTTGTAAAAACATTTAATTGCAATATGACAATATAACCTTCTTGTATTTCATATAATTTGGTCTGTAGTAAAGAGTGACAGACATAAAATACACTGTACTACATTCATTACACAACTGACCAACAAAAGGCAACATATCTGTTCTGAGAGACTCTAAATACCAGGTTGCCTCTTTGTGTTAGCAATAAGCGCATTGGGACCTTGTTCAATATGCTTTCCTTGATCACATCTTGAACTCAAAAGCATGCTAATGCAGACGCTCTGTGCTGAATCTGATGGAATTATTGCAGCAGGCAGTTCTACCTAAACGAAATTAGCTTCTCATGATTTAAAAGTTTTGGGTGTGACTTTTTAACTGAACTGTCAAATCAGCGTAAACATACAGTTTCTTTCATATACACTAAAATGAAAGTCATTAACCACATACAAAAAAAAAAACTGCTGGTTAATAATAAAGTAACAGCTAATTTCAATTAAGCTCCATGTGGCACAGATTTTCATTACCTGGCATCCTCATTTCATAAGCATATTGATTGTCTGTTTTCTAATAGGGATATACAGATATTTAGTATTTATGGTCATATAGAGTTATTTTATGAATTCAAACTCTCAAATCTTGCTACATTCTGTTCTGTCTGTGAGAATAATGTCTTTACGGAGACACAAAACCTTTACGCACCTGAAGCAGCTATGCACATGTACTCCTCTCATACACAACGCTATGGGTGTCTGTAGAGGAACAGCAGAAGATCCACTAGCTCAGATTTGACTGCTAAATTATGACAAATCAAGGCAAACGTTTGTGGACAAATGCTACAACACAGTAAAACCATAAGTAACACGATCTGCAAACAATGATGGCTTTGTTTGCGATAACAAACAGAGAAAGAGAGTGGGTAGATCTCTAAAAGATGTCTGAAATAACCACACAATGAAACGTTTCTGCCTTCTAAGGTGCCAAGAACAGACTGAGGTGAGGGCTGGCTGGAAAACAGGCCCTGCGGATCTTAACCCAAGAATATTGTCCTTCGAATTAGAAGGGCAGGGGTGAGGGAAGTTGAGGAGCACCCGGGTGATCTCACAGAGGGCCGTGTTGAGCTTCATACTTGGTTAAGACGTTTTTACACCGCCCCAGCTCTCTCCGTAGTTCGGAAACTTCCTGTCGGAGAGCCGCGTTCTCTTTCTCCAGGAAACCAGCCCGGATGGCAATCTGATTCTCCTTTAGACGTCGAGCGTCCCGTGATCTCTTGGCGGCCGTGTTGTTCTTTCTGCGCCGTGTCCAGTATTTTTCATCCTGCTCAAAATATGCAGAATAAAAAGGATGGGGGAGAGATGGGAGTGCCTAGTTACATTATGTCAAGATTACTCTGATTATTTAGTGTTTTTAACAGTTACGTTAACCCTATAAAGCCTAATGTATCATAAAAAAAGCCTCTAAATTGTCAACATGATCAAAATTTATCTGAAAATCCAATTTATGATAATCGTTTTGTCTGACTGATAATTTATTCTTTTTGGAGTACTTTTTACAAGTAAATACCATTTCAGTCTTTTTTCTTCTAATTTAATGTGTTACTTTCTGTGTAATTAGTGAGAAACGTACTAGCAATTTCTGAGTCAAAATTGTTTATACACCAATTTTTTTGCAGTGTGGTACTTTTTTCTTTTGCTGTGAAATCTTCAGTTTTTTTTTTTTAAATAAATGAAGGTATGATTATATTTGTGTGTATATGTGTGTGTGTGTGTGTGTGTGTCTGTATAAACTTTAGACAGACAGACAGACAGACGACGATAGATCGATAGATAGATAGATAGATAGATCTTTGTTCATAAAATTGCATATTTTTACTCAGTTTGGGCCTGTGTGTAGTTATAAGCTCTATATTCTGCTATATCATACTATTTGAACCATAAAAGCCTGATGTATCAAATATGATGCTTAACAAAAAAACAAATTTTTGGGATTTTGTGTAAAGGTTCCATAAACGGCATCGTTTTATTAAAAAAGTATTTCATATGTCGGGCCTTACAAGGTAAATAGAATAAATGAAAGTATGATTATATTTGTGTGTATATGTGTGTGTGTGTGTGTGTGTATAAACTTTAGACAGACAGACAGACAGACGACGATAGATCGATAGATAGATAGATAGATAGATAGATAGATAGATAGATCTTTGTTCATAAAATTGCATATTTTTACTCAGTTTGGGCCTGTGTGTAGTTATAAGCTCTATATTCTGCTATATCATACTATTTGAACCATAAAAGCCTGATGTATCAAATATGATGCTTAACAAAAAAACAAATTTTTGGGATTTTGTGTAAAGGTTCCATAAACGGCATCGTTTTATTAAAAAAGTATTTCATATGTCGGGCCTTACAAGGTAAATAGTTTCTACACAACTAATTTAGATTTACAAGAACAGATGATTATGACTAATTATTATTGTCATTGTGATGACGAGTTTTCTCACGCATTCGCTGCCGTGCAATCAGCTTTGAGCAATTTACTACTCTGCACAGCTGGGTAGGAATCCACTTTTATTTGAACAAATTAAAAACGGCAAATCCTTTAATCCTAAACCCAGCACAACTGGAGCGATACCAGGAAAAAAGGAAGATCACGTGGGTCAGGCCGCCGAAGGATGAATGAATGAACATAAGCTTCTTAGCAAGAGCCTGTTGCCCAGCTGGTCAATGGCGAAGTGTGAAACGGGTGACCAAACATGCTCTGTTGGGGGCTGAATAACTAGACCCAAGTTACCTTCATATCATCAGAAATGAAGACTTTGCGTGCTTTCTTGATCATAGGCTGAGGTTTCAGCTCCTCTTCGGAGAACTTGTGTTTGCGTGGGTCGAAAACCTCCTGGCCTGGCACGCTGGACAGAGCGAGGTCTGCCGGATCGGGCTTGTAGCTCACTGGTATCTGAATGGACTCTGGGTCTACTGGACTTGGTGTGTTACGTGATGGAGGCAAAACTGTGGGAGGAAAAACAATCTATTCATTGCTGACTCCATGGTATAAGTGTAATTCAGTGGTAATGCATTGTAACAGATGGTGAAAAGGCTGTCATGAGCGTTTAATTCCACTAGGTGGTACACAAGACTTTAATAATAAACAAAGTGCAAATCAAAAAGCTCTAGTACTGTCGGGAAAACATCTTTTCTTTTCTTTTCTTTTCTTGTGAAGACATTTCATGTTTATTGGTCAAAAATTAAACACACTGAGTAATAAATAACAGATTTTTTTTTTTCATTTTACCAAAATTTAAATTATTATTCTCCATTGATATTCCATGTTGAGATTACATATTCAGTATGAAAAATTTATAAAACTGATTTTAAAATTAGTTTTAAAGACCTAACGGAACAAGAGATCAACATTTTTCCAGATACAAAATCCACAATTCCAACACTCCATTTAGTTCTCCATAAAAATATGATTAAATGTTGTCAAATGTTCAGACTAGGAAAAGAGTCGTCGGTTTGCAAATTTTAGTCAGAGGAAAATAATAGGCTAGTTTGAGATTTCCATTCACAAATGAACTCTAACACTTGGGTGGGAAAATTGAGCAGTTTTTACAATTGACTACTTATTTTTGATGTATCAGAAAAAAACATAGCTGCTCAACAATGCTATTTTTTCTTTTCAACAAATTTTTCATTCTTTTTTTTTTTTTTACATACAACATAATATATTGTTGCTTGTCATCACACAAGCACCCAGACAATTTAACAGTGGATATTATTATTATTATTATTATTATTATCATAGTATCTGTGTTACTTGCCATTCTTAGGCTGGCTTATAAGTAACTTTTTTATATTAATATGGAACAAAATAATATGACAAAGAATAGGAACAGAGCAAACTCCGACACACACTCACTAAACTAAAATACATACTCTGTTTCCCATTTACCACCCACACACTGTCATATTTAGATAGTGACATCTGACCCAACATAACATCTTTTCTGCGGGTCATTTTTTTTTATCTGTGAGGCGAAATGGGTAAGAATTGTCACTGTGGGACAAAGAAGCCATAGTACCTGGTCTGCCCGGGCTGTGGAGGCAGTTCTGAGGAACCATGCCCGTGTGGATGGAGGTGATTGCCTGGCTGCTGAGGTCCATGACTGAGATGGGGCCCTGAGGCATTGAAGGCTGCTGCTGCTGGTGATGGAGGCTTTGGTCATGTTGTGCGGGACTAGAGGGGATGCCATTTTCAGAGAGAAACTCCTCAAGGTCCATATACTCCAACTGAAAGCAGCTGTCTCCATCATAAGACAATGTTTTATCCCAAAGCGTTGGCCCTAAGAAAGCTGATTGAGGAGTGTTTCCTTCTTCCTCCAGCTTTTTTACCTTCTCTCTCTCCTTCACATAGCCTGAAAGAATATTACCATTAGTTAACACATTCATTTTTGGCTCCATTAAAATGTAATGTTTTTTAATTCCCCATGATTTTTAAAGAGGGTTTTTTTTTATTTTGAGTGACTGTTCTTAGCTGCAGTCACGGCTATGCACAGTAAAGAAATCCATTTTCTACACATTTAACTTGTTGCAATGACAAATTGTGATAAATTGCGATATTTACTTACTTTTTTCAAGTTTTTAGTTTCAACACAAATGTCTTCATTGTTAACATTCAAAACAAATTACAATTAAACTTTAATATACTGGTTTAAGTTATATTTTATTCATTTATTTTTGTAGTCCTTTTAAGTTCAAAACAAATCTTTATTCAATCAAAATTGTATGTTTCACTGATTTTTAAGGTACTGTCTTAATGGCATTCAAAAATTAAACCATGATTTTAATGTGGTATTTAAAATGGAAGTTTATTCATTAATAAAACACAACACACACACACACACACAAAGAGTTAAATGAATCTTTAAAACAGCAAAAACAAATAGCGATTTATTCTGGAGATCACCGCAGGAATCAGATGACAGTTCTTTACTGTAAAAAGTATTATTACTACAAAAAAAATGTATTCTCCATACGCAGCAATGTAACAAAGTGAAAGCTTTGATCACCTTCATCTTGGTGCAAAGGTAGTTTCAGAGGTTTTTCCAGGAGCGCCTTCAAAACGCCGTTAGTTTGCGGACGTAGGAAAGCTGGATTCATTGTGAGCTGTCTGGACATAATCCCCTGCATTCCCTGCAAAAATTATTTTTAAAAATTGAACTGAAATGAAAGGATATACAGAACAGCGTTCATTCGTCTAATAACGACAAGTTAGGGTAGATCCCGCTCTACAGCACCGGCTTGAAGAGCGTGTGTGTGTGTGTAAGAAATGTGATGATCATCACCATGTGTCAAGACTGAGGCATGTGACGTCAATCAGTCAGAGGCGGGGTTAGATGAACACTTTCGCTCCACTTGCTAGCGGTTTAGAGACTGTGTTGCCATATCCTCTTGTCATGATTATATTTTCTGTGTTTGATATTGGTTTGGATAAAAAATCTGCTAAATTAATAATGAATGTATTTTTTTATTAAGATGCTTGTAAATGCGTGCAGCTTTTTTTTTTTTTTTTTTAGCTTTTTAGCAAGTTAATGCAGAACAGGGGAATGAACATAAGTGAAAAACTAATGTGCCCAGTGCCCAGTATAATATTACTGATAAATCACTGTCTGACAATGAAGATTGCTGTGGATCTGAAAATAATTTTCCGAAGTAATATTTCAGCAGTCATGTCGTGTGTTTTCTTTCAGCTTTAGAATCAGAACTCGCAATACCAGTTGTCCATGTCTCACTTTAATTCATTTTGATTCACAGTTCATGCACTGAATCGTTTGTGGTTTCTCACTTCTATATATACTGTGTGTGTGTGTGTGTGTGTCTATATATATATATATATATATGGGTCAAAGACGAGAAGTCATCATTTTGGTGTCCGCATCAAATTACATTTACAAAAGTCATTTTAAATGCATAAAAAACATCTTAAATGCAAGTAAATTGTCTACTTTCATATTTCAAATAACTTTTGTGACAATAAAATGTCAAAATATGGGGGAAATAATGTTCCAAATTGTAAAATTGTCATTCAGCGTAATGGTCCGGACTTTGATTTTACCAATACATCTTTAAATAAACATATAAAATACCAAGTTAAAAAATATATTTGTTGTCTTGGCATTTTCAAGTAAGTATTGGCTGTGTTATATTAAAAGGACTATGTCTTATTGTTTTTTTT